GGGGGGGGTTGGGGCGTTGTGTTTTTTATTGTGCACAACATTCAGAAAGCTGCGCCGCCGCACCTAGATTCAAATCCGAGAGCACGACACTCCAGCGCCCGGAGAGGAGTGCCACAACACCAAGTCAAAAGTTTAAGAACATGAGAGCTTAACACAAGCCGCCGCACCTAGATTCAAATCCGAGAGCACGACATTCCAGCGCCCGGAGAGGAGTGCCACAACACCAAGTTAAAGTTTAAGAACATGAGAGCTTAACACAATAGCATTCTTATATAATAAATGCATCACTCTTGCCCCCACTTTACTATATCATCCATCTTTTACCAATCCCAACTCTAAATAGCCTTCTTCCACACTTCCTAACTGAAAAAAGTTTAATAACAATAATTTAACTAATTATATAATTTATTCTATTAATAATAATAACAGCTCTTGCCCCCACTTTACTATATCATCCATCTTTTATCAATCCCAATTTTAAATAGCCTTCTTCCACACTTCCTAATAGAAAAAAATTTAATAACAATAATTTAACAAATTATATAATTTATTCTATTAATAATAATATCATTAACAAATTTCTTATAAATTTCTCAAATTTATCTTCTTCCTTACTCATATGTTTTAATTTCTTGTGTGAAATCAATAATTTTTTACTTTAAGACTGAAGTTCCTTGATTTAATTTTCTAAAACAAATCAATAAACACTAACTTTAATACATAATCCATAAAACTTGATATTAAATAGATAATACTTGAATAAAATAAATTTCAAATCTCACCTTAATAAGCCTCGGTTGACTACCTTAACCCGACGTGCACAAGTCATACACTCTTCCTTCCTTCGATCTCAACTCAACCCATCACACTACACGCGAGGTCGTCTTCCTTCCTCCTTCCTCTTTGCACCAAAGCCGCTAGACTAGGGTTTCGTTGCTGCCGACTCTCCACTTCACGCACAAAGTCGTGCCCTCACCTTATCTTCTCTTCTCTTCTCATCCTTCGACTGAGATTCGACGCGAAAGTGAAGTCACACAGTTTCGTTGCTGCCGACTCTCCACTTCACGCACAAAATCGTGCCCTCACCTTCTCTTCTCTTTTCATCCTTCGACTGAGATTCGACACGAAAGTGAAGTCACACGAGAGGCTCCTCCTTGATGCCACGGTTCTTCCTCTTTCCTCGGCTAGGGTTTCCTCCTTAGAATGCACTAGAGTCAAAGTCTTCCACGCATGTAAGTGATGATTTCTTCCCTTCCTTTCTATTGATCGGCTAGGCTTTTCTTCTCACAGTCTCCCACTCTCGATCCCTCCGCTCTCTATCTCTCTCTCTCTCTCTACCTCGATTCTTCCACGATTCTAAAACGTGCCTCCTAAAGTGAAATTATCAAAACGGTTATTCGATCCCACCAATTCGATTCTTTTTATTAAAATTTCAGTTATTACATATTACTATGACGAGACAACCCCCAACTCCGAGGAACTAATGTGGGGCATCTGCGGACGCAAGATCGCAGCAGGGAGCCGCGCTTCCTGCGATTGCGGCAGAACAAAACCAAACCAGTTCGGTCCAACATTTGAGGGGTCGGCCAATCCTCCAAGGCTTCGAAATGTAGGACAATTGGAGTGGAACCCACTCCTAGTTATCTTAGAATTATGTATTTGCTTTTGTGGTGTTTAGGATTTAAATTTTGATGTGTTTTGTCTCGGAACAACCGTCAACATCTCTTTTCCATCTGTCGTTAGTATCTTAGGGTTTCAAGTGGTGTTTCAACTGTATCTTGGTCTCCAAGTGGTGTTTATCATCCCTACACCCTTCCCCATCCTTTTCTGCATCAATTCACTTTACCCTCACCACTTTTCCCTTCCTTCTGCCACCCAAAAAACAATAAACCTGCTGCTTTCCCCTGTTTTCCTTGTGGCCATTCTGAACAACACCTCCAAAGCTTTTCTTGTAGCTCGCCACCTCCCCCTTTGTTTTCGTTGAGTTCCCTTATCGTTGCCACCCCTTTCCAGCTTACTAGACAACCCCTTGCCATTCTCCCGAATGTCCAAATCCCTAGTCGTCACTACCTCCATCTTAGAATCAACCTTAGTTTGGGTTTCATGTTGTTGTCTTCTTGCAATTCCAAATTTTCACTGTTGTTTTTTGTAATTTCATAATTGAATTCAGTAATGATATTTACTTTCTCCTCATATGTTTGTTAAAATTCGACATAAAAAACTCTCAAAATTTTATATACATGATGGGAGGCATGCAAAAACAAACCTCTGAGAGGCATTCCAAAATAGGCATAAATAAAAAATGGTGGGAAAAAATTAGGGGCCAGCAATCCAATATGAATGAATACAGATTGCAATCCAAGAGTCATAGAAAAACAGATTTAACGGTACAAACCCTTGATCCATGTGCCTTAAGCTCACTACTATGATTGGTGTAGCATAATTTCAACAGATGCTTATGCCACTAAAATGTCATAAAAACATATGAAAATGCTTTTATTGTTATTTGCACTTTCCATTATTTGCTCTACCACAAAAGGGGCATTCATGTTAGATCTTCATATCATAAAAACAAATTGATTCTCTATATTCACTATTAATATGCCTAAATTGTTTGGCGCATCGAGTTCTTTTTGCCTTAGCTACTCCATATAACTTGTTATCACCTCATAAACACCTTAGTTGTTCTTAAATCATAAAATATTATTACTTGCCTTTGCTTCCGAACCCTTTTTGCAAAATTATTTACCATCTTATGATCAGTTATATATTTCAATATTATTTCAAATTTATTCCATTTTGAAATCAAATATATATTTTCTTTGCAATTGTCCATACATCCACCTTGCATCATCAAGTCTTTGAAGTCGTGCATGATCAATATTTACACTTTTAGAACTTCAAAGATAATATTTTGATTGAAAATGTGTATTCCCATTGCTTTGAACTCTTTTGCATTAAGTTTTAAAGTAATTTTGTATGCATTAAGTTTTAAAGCAATTTTGTATGCATGTATATATACATACATACATATATATTATTTAAGAATTAAGAATATATCTAACTCCTCCAATAAATAATAATTGTTAACAAGCACGGAACGTTCATAAATTCTAAATTCCTTATCAGCACTCCTATTCTTAACCTATAAATGTTTCTGCCAACAGGAGCCATGAAAATTCCATATGATAAATTGACTACTAATCAGCAGTTTTCTCAACTGAAAAAAATCTGCTTTACAAAATGCGCAGTTATCTTAGCAAATAAGACACCATCCCATACCACAACGTGCCACCGCATGAATGCAAAGAGAAGCCGGGCATGAATTTGCAGATAGATTAACAAGAATTTGACTTATGTTGAAGTAAATATGCCCTTGTTATTTAAGTATAATATGAAGAAAAAATGGGCATGGCTTACTTGGCTCCAGGCTTGGCAACATTATTGAATATCTTCCTTGCGGCTATCTTTGCCTCATTCTCACTCTTGATCTGGATAGTTGACTCGTCCTCCTCCATTCCCTGTGGCAACTGTTCATCAAGCGTCGTTAATGTGCCGAGCCTAACAATTCTCATCAGCCTCTTCATGTTCCACGCTGATATATTCTTTTGATTGAACTTATGCAACTGTTCAACGGTGATCCCTCCTTTCTGCTGTAGAAGCTGCCTGCTAAAATCTTTCCTGGAGGAGGAGCCAGAAAGCTTAGTACTCTTTCCAATCTGGGAACTCTTCACTCCCGTCCCTCCATGGCCAATTCCACCACTTCCACCTATTACCCTCCCATTTTTGCATGATCTGGTTACCTCCCTGAGGTCATTGGGTATGGTAGCACCAGCATTCTGCAGCTTCTGCATCTCAGTCATCATCCGGTCCTCCTCCTCCATGTTGTGCTGAATTTCAAGAAGAGGCGGACCTGAGAGAGTCTCTATAATATACTGATTAAACAGAGCTTCTTGAATCCGATCAAAATAAGTGCTCACGTGGAAGGACGAAGCTAAAACCTTGACTAGAAGAGTCTTGATGAGGCGCAAAACAGTGGCGACAATAAGGCAAAAGAGGATCTTAGTTATATACGAAAGCACCTTGGTCTCTCCCACCACCTTTTTGTCGAATAGAAAGTGCCAAGCGAGGAGAACCAGACCAAACCAGATGCAATTTTGAACCGCCCTGCGCACGCCGTACACGAAGTAGAGAAAGCGCTTTCGGAGAAAAAAATTGCGCTCGAGGAAAAAAACAATGATGCGGACGAGCCATCCAGAGAGAAGGCGGCCGGACATGAGAACAAGGACGAGCAACTCCCATTTCCAGAGATGAAGCCCCCAAACGGTCTGACGCGCAAGCTTGGGCATGGCTAGGCTGCAAATTAGAGCGCCGAGAACAAGAAAAAGACCGATCAGCTCGAGGATGGCCCATTTGCTGATCTTGGTGCCCTTGAACTCCTCCGGAAGATCTCCAAAGGGGTCATCCTCATCCTCTTCGGTAACCCGAGACATGCCGAGCAGCCCCGACCGTTGGGGGATTTGCCCAGACCTGTTTGGCATTCGCATGGATTTCTTCTCATCTGAACCAACGCCGACGGTGGTGGACGGTGGAGGATCCATAAGCCTAGACCTCGTTTTGGCCCGCAGTAAAGGTCTGTTCCGGCCAAATGACGAGTTGGAGGTGCATCGCAGGACCTCAGTACCGGTATCGCCTTCCTTCGAGTGGAGGCTGGCGGTCGCCGAAGTCCGGCGAAGTTCCAGCACTTCGACGCGGCCATCGGAGTCATCATCGTCATCGGACTCCACATGCGAGTTACGGGATGGCGGATTGTTGAAGACGTCGGGTAAGGATACGCGCTGCTCCTTGGATGAAGGAGACGTAGAACTTGTCGTCGGCTTCTTGAGCTCCTCCATCTCGATATCCATGTCCAGCGCCATCTCGGCACCGGCTACCTTCTGCTTCTGCAGAAACGAACTAATCAGCCGCGACGGAGGATCCTCGTTGCTCTCCTCCATGTCCTTCTTCGTTGGACTCTGGAATGAAAATACCAACCCATCCCCTCCATCACCGCCACCGCCATTGCCAAGATGCCCTTCTTTCCAGAAATCATAGCTAGATTCTCTCCACACCTTGCTTTTATTAACTTCAGGAGTGATGCCGAAGGGGTTTCCGTTCTTCATTTGGATGTCGCCTTCGACCCGGACGACGACGTCCCGGCGATCAACGGATTCTTCGAGCGGATCGCAGGCCAGAATCGGGCGTTGGTCCTCAGACTGGTTCCAGACAGAGGATATCTTATAAGAATTGTGCGATTTGAATGATTTCCGGAGAACATTCATGATATCTTTAGCTCAATGCTGCTTGCTGCAATATCACAAAATCCGCCGCTACGATTTCGGAGAAAGACGAGGATCAAGGTGAGAAGGATTATTTTTTTACACTCTTTGCAGGTTCGCATACACGTGTTGGGAAGAAACTAGGGTTACAGTCTTGCTCAGCAGCTCGGGGAGCTGGAAACCAGGGATTGAAGGCGAAGATGGCGGAGAGAAGAGAAGGAAAGAGGAGGGAACAAATACTATACGTAAGACACGTGTCTTGTATCAAAACATGTTCTGGAAGCTGTTTCCTGTTTCTCAAATCTTGTTGATTGGAGTTGTTTATGCGACGATTCGGTGAGCTTGTGAAATTGCCGTTAAAGATGCGTGCCGCGTGTAAACTGTTTAAGTATTTATTCAAAAAAATTATATATATACTTATTTGAAGCAGAATAGAATACATAATTAGAGAATCAATTTTATAGTTATGTTTATGCATTTATTAAAATATTTAAATTGTGTATATTATTATTAATTCCTATATTTCTCATTTAGAGTTATTTTTGCTCTAACCAAATCAGATCAAATCGATCAATCTAACTGCGAATTGATCGTTAGCCTAGTCCGAATCATGTAAAAAATTATTCTGTTATGAATCGCCCGGAAATTGTAGTGTCTATGGTTTGACATAGAGGCCGGCAAATCGGTAGAACTACAGATCAGTCACACGCTACAAATTCTACAAAATCCTAAGCGGTGTGAGGGCACCGCATCGCGGCGTAGAAGCTTCTGCATATGCTCGTGCAGCGGAGCTTTACATTCTTTAGATCCAGACCGACGTGATTCTTAACTACTATTAGTTTATTCTATTTTTATGTTTATCATTATTACATCATTATTTTAATATTTAAGATCATATTCAATTAATGTTTATATTTATTACATCATTTTGTTACATTTTGATTAAACTAATGAACATTGAACATTTCTTTTTTCTGATTTGATTTCCGATCCGATTTCAAAACCTAGATACTGAATAATTCATTCACACCCAACAATTTTTGTTTCATCATAACTTAGATGCATATAAATTGTTTTAATTCCCATGACTATTTAAAAATTATCTTAATAATATGAAATACACTTGATCAAGTATCACAAATTTGATCTTTCTATAGGTCTATTAATGATCAATAATAGAGCAAAAAGTATTCATATTCATCTAGGTTGATCAAATTGTTATGAGAACATAAATCAATTGGAATAAGCTCCTAAATGTGAGTACAAAGATTGGCCTTCTATGAGGGATGATCTTACAGTCTCTGCAATATAGCATTCATACTAGCAATTGATGAAATGGTGCGCCAACAACTTAGTTAGACCATTCAATCCATCATTTCACTGTTGTAATATGTCATTGGATATAATTTTCAAATTAGGGGATGTGTTATCTGTTGAAAAAGTAATGCAGTGTAATATGAATATAATACATGAGCAATATATTGCATTTAAAATATTTTGAAGTTGTTTGTTTTGGTGTAATATAAATTAACTATTTCATTTTCTTTTATTTGGTACGAAGTCAAATAAAAATAATATATATTTAAAATAATGTGTACGCCGGAGGTAGCGATAGTAATCGACAGAATTAGGCTGCAATGAGGCCAACAAAAGCTGTTGGCGGGTGGCAGACCATAGTGGTCGATGACTGCAAAAGGTCGGGGACTGGCTATGGCGAGAGGCGGTTGGCAGCAGCGGCAAGCAGGCGAAGAGTAGGGAGCGGCGGGCGATGAGCCCACCCCCCGGCCGCTACTAATTGGGTGGCAGGCGACGATGATACGTCGGCGTTAGTGACTTGTAAGGCGGTGAATAACACTTTACATTAAGCTGTGTGCTTTAAATACAGCCAAATCGACCAAATTCCAAATTCAGAAAAAATAAAAGAAGTGCTTAATTATAAATACAAAATTGTTTTACATTGAATTGCATTTAGTTCCATACAAACAACTGAATTTCCAAATTTTCTGTATTTGGAATGCAGTACACCAGTAATGATGTCCTCCAAACATCCCCTAATTCTTTTTGCATGGTATCTCGATAGTGATACTTTATGCTTTTAAACATGGATTTATTTTGTAAAATGACAGAAAGCAACGATTTATTGCAATCATAAAAAAAATGGTTCAAAAACTAAAGCTGCAATCAATTTCTTCCATTTTAAAATATTCAATGGATTTGGTACAATTAATGGCACACAAATTTTCATAAGAAAAACACTATTATAATAACAAAATATCTCACTTCTTCCATTCTTTTGATTAAGGGTCCATTTGGGGCAGCTTATAAGTGCAGATGGCGTTTTCAAAAAGCCGTCGTACTGTTTGGTTCGCGCGTTTCATCAGCTTATCCGAAAGTGTGTTTGGGTTTTTACACGAAACGCAGGCCGCGGGTTGACCCCTGCGGCCGGGCCTCCCGTGCGGCCGGGCCTCGTTTCAGGATAAGCGGCTTATCCTGAAACGCACAAGCTACCCTAAACGGACCCTAAGAGGTAATTGTATATAGTTTTATTTGTCTTGCTCCATCTCCTTCATTTATGTTATTAATGTGGCAACCCATTCACCTTCTTCACATGATGTTTAACGGAATATTATATGTTTAAGTTGCAATAATTACTTTATGTTATTATTTATTGTTCGGATTAAGAAAAAGAGATTCTACATTGAATACAAAATATGGGCTTATATATATGTTTTTATATAAATAATTTTAGGAGTTTAGCGCTAATTATGATATAAATATTATCATTTTTTTTCAGGAAAAGATAATGACTTAAAAATCATATATAATTATGCATAATTATACATGATGTAATCACATATAGATGATTACATGGAGGTACATATTTATAGTCCATCATAGCCACTAACATAAGTATAACTATATTAAAAGCTTAACGAAAAGATGACATTTCCTTTATGGTTGTCATGTCAATGTAGCTTTGACAATTAGATGATACCAATTTAATTTGCTAATATACACACATTAGTGCTCTTTTTTCCCTTTTTAATTATTATCCCCCTTTTATTATTTGTGTTGCGTGCACCGATGTTTTAATAGTTGATTCTTTAATATATAAGAGGTATTTTCTCGATTTAAACTTTCAAATCTAATAATTATAACTTTTTAACTGCAAGTTCTAATATGGTGTTTAGTTGAACTTTCGTCATAATTTTCAGTAATGACCTTTATTATGTTAATTTTCAATAAAACTTTAGCCCAAGTTCAATAAAACTTATTTTCACATAAAGATTAGCTAGTTCTGCCTAATGATAACAATAATAAAATGTTTGGCATGATCCAAAAGTAAAATATTAGAGGGCTATTTTGTATATCCAGGTACAAAACTCTAGAGTTCACCATAATTTTATGAGTTCAACAAAACATTGAGGTCGTTGAAAAACATTCTAATACAAGAAAATTCTTGCTCAGTTGAAAGGCTTTCATATTATTAAACAAATAATAAAAAAAATGCTAATAAGATTCATGCAAACAAGGGTGAATTGCTTTTAAAGTCATGAAAACTCCAATGACATTAAAGTCCTATATCATTAAAATTTGATCTGTTCTCTATTACGGACAATTCATATTACAAGTTTCGCAAGAGTAACAGACCCAAAGAGGGCTTTAATATAGAATGAAATCCACATATAAGGGATCATAAGCAAGGAAAAACAATATTAAATTTGCTCTTTATTAAATACTTAATTGCATTCCACTCTTATCAATAAATCATGTTACATTCAACTTGACATATCAAATTAAATGTATAATTCAAATATTTTCATTAGACCCATTATAAGAAAAAGGACAAAAGGTCCACAATAAAAACCCAATTTTAAGGGATTCACAAGACCCATTATTTAAATTATTTGAATATAGTTATATATACTTATTTTGCATTTTGTTAAATCTTTGGAAACATGTACAGATGGCCATCTTGACAATGGAGTATGAAAAACAAAATGTATCTAACAAAATCTTTAAAATCATACATTCATTAAGTGGCAATCCCCTCCATTTTTTCTCATTAATTTTTTCTTCAAATTTGGAAGCTTAAGCATCATATGCTTCTTATAAATTAAAGTTGATATATTAAAAAAAATTAGTATCGAGTCAAATATTTTTAGTGAATAATTGCTTTTCTCTTTTTTTCATGACTTGGTGATTTATTTTAATTAATTAATTATATTTTAAATTTTTTTACTTAATTAGTAATTTCAATATATATATTTTTCTTTGATGTGGTCTAATTATCATTTTTTTTAATTTAAATATTATAATTTCTCAAAAAATATTCCCAGAGCATCATAACATCTTTCTCCACAATTTAAGTCTTTTCTAAGATAACTTATAACCCACTAATTTCTTAAATTAGTTAATTGAGATTACCTTTTTCTTAATTACCTATGATAAATAAATTCCAAAAACTGCATTTAAGATAAAATTAATTGGGCATTATATGATGTATTAAACCAAGACCTTGGCCAAAGAATGGTGGTTATGAATCCTAACTCATACTTGAATTAAAATAAAGGTGATGTTCAAAATTAATTACTTTAATAGACATGTAATTATTAACATTAAATTAAGTTTGTCTTCTAATAATTTAATATTTGAATACTTCCAAATAACTAATTATCAGGATTAATCAAATTATTAACAATTAGCAATTGTCTAATACATTTGTTATTGTATTTAATGTTGACTTTAGTAGAAAGAGTTGAGTTATTTGATACAAAACTTTCCTTACAATGTGTTAATAGATGATCGAAATCCATTTATTTATTTTAAGATCAAAAGATCTAACTCCGACCAAAAGAAATACTTTCTCACATCTTTCTTAGGTCTTTAATCATCTTAAAAACATATATCGTACCATCAACAATATCATAATGATTTATGCAATTATATTAATTAACATGCAAAAAAAAAAGTTAGAAAACAATAATAATTAATTAATATAATTGTGCCATAATTAAAGTAAATCATACACCATCCCACAAGTTTGATGCTATGCCACCATTCATTAATTTCCTAATATTATAAAAATTTAAAAAAAAAAAAATTTTTTGAGAAAAGAAAGAAAATAAATCTAAATTTAAAATAAAGATTAATTTTTAGTTTAAATTTTTATATAACTTTTAAATAAATTTAATAATTTTTATTTTCATCCTCAGAATATTATATTAAAATATATCCTTACTTTTATAATATCATAAGCCACTAAATAAAAATAAAATTATTTCTTTCTTAAAAAAAACATAATTTTTTTTAACAAAATTGATCAGAAATAAAATCGAGATAATTATAATAATCTCACACGATACCACGTCTCAGGATTGGCGTTTTTCGCTGCGTGTGCTCAGCCGAATCGCCGTGCGAAATAATGGGTGGGTATGGAAGGCCGCCATTGTTTCTAGCAGCTTCAAAAAGCTTTCTTTGATCTGATTCCGAGTTATAATCCTCTTCGAATCCTGTCTTCCACCTTCGCCAATCGCCGCCGATCGATCTAACCTGCTGCCGTGTCTCCATGAAAGCTTTGCGGCCGCGGGTTGAGAGTTAGGTGGGTTTAGAAGTAGGATATACCTTTTTCTCTTCTTGGAACTTTGTGGATAAGTTCGCGGGGGAGAAGCGAAGAAATGAGGAGGAATTTGAAGAGAGGGAGAAGTATCGGCTGTGGCGTCGTCGATGTTTTGGAGCGTGAAGCCGGGAATTTATGTCCGAGAAGCTTTGCTAGGCTTTTTGGGGCTTCTGAGGTTTGATTCCCAGAGTTTTTATCTGCTTGATTAATTTTTTATTTAGATTTTACGATCGATTATGAAGATGACTCCATAATTCTATGCTCTCCTAGAAATCTTGATTCCAAACGACGGTGCTTTGTAATTTTTTTAATTTTCTTCCGGTTTGTAATCGGTTTGGGGATCTGATTGCTCCACTTCCCGAAATTTTGCTCATGTTGTACCATAATTTGCCTTTAGATGGTTGTGGACGGGGCCTTTCATATGATTTATTTTATTTTATTTTTAATGTTTTTCTCGTGCTGTGGGTGCTTCTGATCGATACAGAAACGAAAGTTTTCTTCATTGGCTTTGGCGGTTCATAACTCCACACATTTATCATTTATACCTGTTGTTTGAATCAATTACTTTATGTTAAAACATTGCATATTGTAATTTATGTCAATGGCATTTGTTTTTGTTCTTCCTAGTATGCACGTATTGGGAATTGGTTCCAGATGTATTGGACCTTTCATCTTCTTTTCATGCACCTGAAGTCCCAATCCGAGCTTTTTCCTGCCTGTATTTATGAATTTTGGTCTGTGAATACTAGCATATGGATACGTAGCATTTGATTTTTTTTTTTTTTTTTTTAATTGAGCCACGACTCTAGTACCACCCAAAAGCCCCAATCCACACTTATCTATCCATAGTCCAATTGTCTGCAATGATAGATAAACAACAACAACAACAACAACAAAGCCTTAGTCCCACTACGTGGGGTTGTCTACATGAATGCTTTTTCTGCATTGCATCCTATTTGGTGTCATATTTTCATTTAGTTTAAATAAATTAAGATCATTTTTTATACAATAAGCCCAAGACTTCCTAGGTCTACCTTTGTCCTTCTTAACATAAGTCGAATCTAAAACATCTACTCTACTAATCAGATCATCAGATGGTCGACGTTTAATGTGACTAAATCATCTAAGACTGCTCTCTCTAATTTTGTCTGTCACTGGAGCTACACCAACCCTATCACGGATATATTCATTTAATATTTTGTCTCTAAATGCAAAGCCAATCATCCACCCAATCATTCTCATCTCGGTAACACTAGTTTACCATTATGCTTCTCTTTTAAAGGCCAACATTCATATCATCAGATGGTCCATGTTTAATGTGACCAAATCATCTAAGACTACTATCTCAAATTTTGTCTGTCACTAGTGCTACACCAACCCTATCACGGATATATTCATTTCATATTTTGTCTTTAAATGTAAAGCCACTCATACACCCAATCATTCTCATCTCGGTAACACTTAACTTACCATTATGCTTCTCTTTTAAAGGCCAACATTCAAGGCCAACATTCAACAAAAGGCCAACATTCAACACCATAGAGCATTGCAGGTCGCACCACCATCTTATAAAATTTTCCTTTCAGTCAAACTGTGATTTTTTTTTTCTGTCATTAAAATTCAAAATACATGATGTCAATAAATATTTTTAGCACATTATAATCTTTTCTTATTAACCTTTCGTTTGTGGATAAAATGCTATATCTTATTTAACCCGGTGCTCAAACTTTCATAAACACTTCTTCACTCTCTAGAAATAAATCTGAAAATTTTATCTATATAATTACTTTTGATATGCTATGTATTTTGATAATTTTTTTCACATGTATTATTGCTATTTTTTAATGCAACCTGTCTACTTAATAGGCAAAAAGGGAGCGGTCTTAGTCAATCTATTAATTATCAGCTAAAAACAACCACTTCCTCGTTTAAATTTAGAAAATCCTATCATAAAATCCATTGTAATTTCTCCTCACTTTCACTATGACATTGGTAATAGCTGCAACTGTTCACTTGATCTGAAATATTCGACTTTTGAAAATCTGACAAATTTCAGACTTGCATGTAAATTTAGCATCCATCCATATATTTCACCACTAAAACACTAATTTCAAATATTTATGAATCTTAATGCTTTCTGTATGAATGGTATCCTTACAGAGGAGCTGCTTACAAAATATATGGGTCAATTATACTAGATATCCATAGACATAGCTTATTCTAAATAACGCCTTGTTCAGTAATGATAATTTTTTTTTTAATCTGATTCAACTTGCTCAATTAATTTTTGATATTCACTGTTAGTTTTTTGAGCTTCTTTATTTTTTCTCCTTTATAGTTTGCTTTACAGTCATTTGATATAATACTTTTTTTCTTTTTAATTGGTTCTTAGGTCTATATTGTATCAAATCATTTGCCTCTTCACCAAAAAATATTTTTTTAGACTATTTTAAATCAAATTTGAGAAGCTTAAGCATCTATAACTTCATTAACAAAAATTAACTTATAGCAATTACACTATAACTAATAATATTCACCTCAATAATTTTAGCTTTCAAATATCTCTCTACTATTTTTCATTCCACATATTTGTTTTTTTATTATTCAAACATGTAATAACTTATAGCTTTTGGCATTAACTTTTCCTTTTTTGTCCCTTTTCATAGAAACATGCTTTTTTATTTTTCTTCTCATAATTATTTTTATTATTTCTCTAGCCTTCTTGTTCAAAGTCCCCACTCTACATTCCATGAAGTAATCTACGCTTCCTTGTATGTGAAGTCAAGCCCTAATCACATTTTATTACAATTGGGATAAAGTTTTGCCTATTGTTTGCAATCGACATTATAACCAATCTTTGCTTACATTTGCACCACAAATGGGCCATATTGGAATGCATTACTTACAGGCAACATCTTAGCAAATCTCCTATGTTTCTTACTATCAGGCTTCGTCATAACTACACTTTAAAATACAATTTTTGAGGGAAATACCAGTAGTAATAGTGGATTGCTATTTAGTAAAGTATTGGTAAGGATTTTGTTACTATGATTAGTTTTTGTGCTCATCCCATTTGAGCTAGAAGAAAACTTGAAAATCCAATTAGTTTAATAAATAGATGAACTAATGTTATCCTTGCTTGATTAGGAGGGGATTTGGTGGTGTTAACATAAATGGATATGTAGATTTTAGAAGAGTGGGTTATGAGAAGTTCATTTGGATAAAAGCATTTGTCTTTGTAAAATAATGAGCAATTTTTTATGTGCTTTAAGAATAATATAAGAGCATTCGTGGAAATTATTTTCTTAATGGAAGAATCATCTTGATTAGTGTTATTCAAAGAATATGTTTGGAACAAAGCTAAGAGATCTGCTATCCATGTACATCACTTGCCTTTGAAGTGTAAAGTTTGTAGCAAAGCATGTGTCGCATTGCTTCGCCATGTTGTGTGGTAGCATTGTTTGTTCTACTTCTACTTAGAGCAAAATCTTGGTTTATATTTCATGGTTCGGTTCAGTATCTCTCACAATAACTCGCCATAGTTGTTTGCTTTTCCCTGCTATTTTCATGGTTATTGAGTGATTGGCCATTAGTTCTCAGCTCTATTTTGCTGGGGCTGATCATTACGTGATGGTTTTCTCTTCAAGCCCATTCCCTCACTGGTTCGTATACACTTATTACTAGCTCTTATTGGTTCTTGTAGCTTCTAACTTATAAGGTTCTTCTTGGGAATTTTTTTCATTGCATCATTTTTCCACTCTCTCTCTCGCCTTAGTCCCTAGTTGGTCACTCGTACTCATAAATATATTCTTGATTTTGGATATTCTTACAACACTTCATTATTTATATTATTTATATCCTTAATTTTTTTTGCTTTAGAATAGCTTAAATGTCACAATTTTTTGCTTCTCTTCATTAGTCTTTGGTTCTTATCTTTCTTTTGCTGGGGCTAATTATTACTTGTTCTTCTCTTCACGCACACTCCTCTACTAGTTCTTTGTGGTGCTTGTAGCTTCTAATTTATAAGATTATTCTTGAGTATATTTTCAATGAATCATCTTTACACTCTCTCGTTTAATTCTCTAGTTGGTCATTTTAGTTCATAATTATATTCTTGATTTTCAAGTATTTTTACATTACTTCATTATTTATATATTTTATATACATACTATATGCATATATCACAAGCAAATAATTAAGGTTCTAGTTGGTAAAAGCGTCGCATCATTTTATGCTTTGGGCATTTAAGCGAAGGAGCTCTTGCTTGTTGCATTGCACATAGTACTTTGAAAGCACTAATCTTAGTGAAATGATGCTTGATTTCACATTTAGTATATGTAAAGCCCAAGAGGGCAAGTGATTTGTACTTTCATAAGAGAAGATTCTTTTATGAATGAATACACTTAATAAAGCAAATTTTAATTATCTATTAACTATATGTTAATACCCAAAAGGGCAAGTGATGTTGAATTCAAACATGATAGGTAATGGTATACCTAAACAAGATGGATGATGATAATATTGGATACTGAGAGCATCAATATATCTCAATACATGCGGGAGGAAAAAATTATGATTTGAGAATTGAGAACTTAAAAGGATAATATCAAGGGTAAGTGATTCAGATGGATATCTGTATTCTCTGTTTTGTTTATTGGGCTACCTGTAAAATATAGGGGGCCAAGGCTAGGTTCACCTAAACTTGCTGTCCGGTTTAAGCTTGTTCAACATGTTGGTTATATTATCTTATACGTGAATAATTCAGACGGCTGCTCACAAAAATTTATGATCATTACTAGACGCTCTTATGTATTGTGGATTTCTTCACTCCTCAATATCAAGAGCTAACTAAATCATAATCTGCTGAGATTTTTTTTTATTATAGGCTTCTAGCAATTGGCTATCTTTTCAATACCCTACAGGAAATTCTTACCTGAACTGAACTTCATTGAACCATTTGTTTGCTCCATTTGTAACAAGCTCGGTGAACTTTCATTTTGTTACAAATTTAATACTCTTAAACAAACTATTACTATTAGTATTTATTCATAGTGAGGTCTATTTTATAGCGTTAGTGTTTTGGCATCCTATGACAAATTCCTGGAAACTTACGTTCATGCCATATTTTATTTAATTTTGATTCTCACATTCAGCGAGATTCAATGTTTTGGAAGTCATGTTTTCTTAATGATCGTGCTTATTGCAATGGAAGTTTCATTTGTTTGGTCTGCAAATCATGCGATTTAGCTATGTTATGAATGCAAACTCTTGTGCTTGTCATTTCTATACTCTAGTTGATCATTTATCCCTTTTTGTGAACTCCTTTGCTATAATTTAGGAAGTATATTTGCTTGGTTATCATGCTTATTATACAACTCTGCGTATCATGTCTATAGTATGTTTGCGCAATTATTTCTCTCATGAATTCTTCTTTTAGTTGTATGAAGTAAGATGATAAAAGAGATTCATATTCTCATTTACATTTCACTTGTTTAAATTGCTATACATGTTAGTTATTATTTAATGGCAGGTTCAGTTCCAAGATTTGTTTTTTATAATGGGAATATACTATCTATCACCATTTTTGAATTTTTTGTGACGCTACATATACTATAGCACGTTACTACTATAGCCATTTAAGATTGCCCGTGCTCATCACCATTCTCTTTCGTGTCCTGTTCCAACACATGCTATCAATCATGCTTTCACATATCACCATGTGCTCAGTGTTTTTGCAGAATTGTGCTTAGAAATTAAGTAACAATAGAGAAATCAATATCTCTAACCTTTTTGTTTGCTAAATTGACCCCAATGGTTTTTCTGTCAATAAAGTTTAACTAGAAGGGGAACATGTTATTTTTAAGTCCTATGAAACAGTTATATTATTCCGGCTAACCACCTGCATCTGAATAATAGCGGCTTGGTAGAAAAATTTTGTTAAAGCTTACATCTTGGTATAATTCAGAAATTAATGTTTAATACATAAGTTGGTTCATGCTAGAATGAACAATTCTAATCTTTTCAATCTATATAAATTTTTGGGCTCTTGGTGCTTTGCATTTTACACTCTAGAGGATAGTGTGGACATACTTATATTTTTTTTCGCTTTCGAATGATTTCCAAAAACAATAAATATTTGCTAGGGGACATTGGCTTGATTTTATCTATTTTAGTAAGAACCATTCTCGCATCTGCTATTTAGCTTCTTATCTCTGATTTTTTTTCCCAGTTTTAATTTCAACATATAGGTAGATTTATCTAGTTTTTTTAAATCCACCAACAAATTTACCACATTTGCTACTAAAATCAACATATTTTAGTTGGCAAGCCACAAGCAATTTGGATAATATCCAACCTTTAACTCTTTGAGCTATCTAAAGTCCTTTTATATTCACTACTATGAGCTTGCCCAACTTTTATTCCTGCAGGACCTCGTCCGCAGACTCACCGTTTGTAAAAAACTAGACAAACACCGGGGCTGCGTTAACACATTAAGTTTCAACTCCTATGGCGACATTCTTGTGTCAGGTTCTGATGATAGAATGATAATATTGTGGCATTGGGATTCTGGGAATGTAAAATTATCATTTCACTCTGGCCATAGTAACAATGTTTTTCAAGCAAAATTTATGCCTTTCACTGATGATCGGATCATTGTTTCATGCGCCGCTGATGGGGAGGTATATAATTATCAATTTTCATGCCAATAATCACAAGCACGGCTAAGGTCTTAATTAATCTTCCTAATGATATACTTTGAATAGATAAGGAGAACTTATTTTATTATTCTTTTAGGTGAGACATACGCAGATAGCAGATGGCGGAAAGGTAGCCACGACGTTGTTAGGACAGCACGAAGGTAGGGCTCATAGGCTGGCCATTGAGCCCGGAAGCTCACATATTTTTTATAGTTGTGGTGAAGACGGTCTTGTTCAGCATGTGAGTAGTTCAATCAAACAAACAAGCAAACAAACAAACAAATAGGCAACAAATATTTACATACATACCACACGATTCTTCTATATTTACATATCTAATGCTCAAAGTTTGTTATTTGCAAAACCTGAGTGTCATAAATCTATGCATGAAAAGGTGTATTTCACTTTTAAAAAAGATATTGATGGTGGTATTTTTGATATGATGTTAAAGATTTGAGTTGTGCCCATGTAAATATGAATGTTTAGGTGTTAGATACATAAATACATAAGACTTGAGTGGTATGTATTTAATTGCCCCAAACAACAGACAATATTCTCCATTTACATTTTATCCATCTCCGCTAGTCGATCCTGATTTACTCTCCTTTTTGTCAGTTTGATTTGAGAACAAAATCCCCGACGAAGCTCTTCATTTGCAATTCTTTTCAAGATAAATCTGATTACACTCACATTGTTAGTCTAAATGCCATCACAATAGATCCACGGAATCCCAACATTTTCGCAATAGCAGGATCTGATGAATTCGCCAGGATATATGACATTCGCAAGAACAATTGGGACGGTTCAAAAAACTGTGAACCCACAGACTGCTTCTGCCCTCCTCATCTGATTGGTGATGTCCGTATTGGGATCACAGGTTTGGCTTTCTCAGATCAGAACGAGCTGCTTGCATCGTATAATGATGAGCTAATCTATCTCTTCTCAAAGAATGATGGGCTTGGTTCCAATCCAATCGTCAGGGATGGTGGTGGTGGATCCAGTTCAGCTTTATCATCATCTTCTTCAGATTCCAATGGAATGTCTGATTTACAGGTTTACAAGGGACACCGGAACTGTGACACGGTGAAAGGTGTGAGCTTTTTTGGCCCACACTGTGAATATGTTGTTAGTGGGTCGGATTGTGGTCGGATTTTTATTTGGAGGAAACGAGATGGCGAACTCTTACGTGTGATGGAAGGTGATGCAGATATTGTTAATTGTATCGAGCCGCACCCTTCTGCTCCGCTGTTTGCAAGTAGTGGAATTGAGAATGACATTAAGATTTGGACACCTACTGCTACTGAGTTAGCACCACCTGTGAAAATGGACGAGGTGTGCTTTTCTATAAACGTCTCACGTTGCTATGTTATCCAACATAAACTTTGTTTTATGCCATGTGTAGATTAAATGCTAACTTTGCTGTCTTCATATTACTAAATCGCTTGAAGAAAGGAACAAAGAATAATGTTAACTCAATCAAGAAGAATGAGATTTTGTCAATTGAAAACCTGAAGATGTATATGGCAGAGAAAATCAAACAAATTATTTGTAGTGACATTCCTAGCAAAAGTTCCAGCAGCAAAACTTTAGATCATCGCTTATGCGATGAAAGTCAATAGATAATTGTGATTATTGTCTAAAATTGAAAAGTTAGGATCATAGATTGGTAGAATCACTTTGCACATTTTTCTCAGGATTATAGATATCGATATACTTATGATTTTACTTAGCACTTGTAATATTTTGATTTATAGGTTTTGTAATATTTCAATTTGTGAAAGTGATGATTTCCTTATTTTCAAAACTATCCATTTCTGTGTGCAATTTAAATCTTATGTTTCACTTATGTTGGTAGATATAGATATAGATAATGAGATGTTTGATTGCATTCTTAGCATTCATCACGCATTTTGATGTAGAGGTTTTTTAATGTTGCTTTTGCTCTAGAAGTGATTTATTTATTTTAAAAACTATACATTTAAGCGTGATTTTCAAATTTCATGTAAAAGCCCTCCCCAACTCCCCCTCCATAAAATAATAATAGAAAAAGGAATGTCTCTTCAAGTTATATAACCATCTTCATATTTATTCGAAGGAAGATTTACTTGCATGGTACTCAATTCTTCTGTATTTACATATCTAACACCTAAACTTCAATTTTTACACCACCTTTCCTATGCATTCCACGTTTTACAAGTTAAAATGGCATTATTTTTTCTGCATTCTGATACAGTATTACTTGATTTTGCTACAGATTAAACAGCCCAAGAGAAGGAACAGGCTCTGCCGCGTCGGCCTCCCTATAGATTTAATATCACAGATCATAGCTCTCCGGCATTCTGCATCAGCTGACGGCGGTGAAAGTTTGGTGGTTAACGGCGACCTGTTTGACCTTTTGATGCGAGCGAGGGGTGGTGATGATTCAGCAGATGACGGCGATGGCGACGGCTCCGGCGAAAACGACGGCGGTGATGGCGAAGACGACGGCGAGCAAGCCGAGAATCCCAATGATTGCTCGGTCAGTTGATATGGTTTGTTCTCATCAGAACTCTTAAGAAATTATTTCCCTCCCAGAAATGATTTTGTAAATATATAAATATATATATATATATATATATATTTGTTTGAATTCAACTTGGCGGCATTTCATAAAATACTTTATATTCGTGGTATCTCCTTGCCCGAAATATTAACATGTAGTTATTGTTTTCATTTTTATCTTGCTGCGGAAAATGTGATTTGTTATCTATTTTTTATTGGTAATCTTATTTGTAGTTTGGGGCTTGTTTTGTTCGTGATATTCTTTACATAGTTCTATTAAGATTTGATTTGTTAATTGGTTAAGTTAAGATTGTGGTTATATGGAGGGTCATGGTCATAGTTTTAGTTAATCTCGGGGGTTTAAAAAGTTTGATGTAATGTTGATTAATTTTAGTATGATGTATTGAGAAATTATAAAGTTATTATAGTATTGATATATTCTCAAAAATTTATTTTAATAATGCAAGAATGTTTCAGATTCAAATTCAAGATTATTAGAATCTTGATTCTACAAAACCGCCCATAAGAGCTACTATTAACCATCGATCTTTTAGCCGTATTCTCAAAAGAACTATATCTACAGCCGTGGCAATGGTGGCATGATTTGGTAATGCCCCAATTTGTCCACTATTAGTAGATAAAATAATCTCTTTCACTTCAAAATCCCAAATCATTCGATTTGGAGTAAGTACACGAAAATTTAAGGTCATTTATTCAATTTGTTTTCCTCTTCTAAGTTCATAGCTTTTGTGGTAGCTTCACCGATGTTACCCACCAAATAAAAGGCCTGCTCGTGAAGATAGTAAGGTTATAGTTGAACTGACGGTCGGAAAAAGACGAACTTAATGAAGTTAAAATTGGATCATTTTAAATTTAGCAAAATAATGATAAGTACTCTAAACTTAGGTTTTTTTTTTCTTAAATAAAATAATATTTAGTAAGTCACATGCATCTTGCAGCATAAAACAAGTTAGCTATGCCCAATGACATATCAACAATCAAGCTAAACAAAATTCCAAGAATTATGGAGTTGCATTCATTTCCTCCACAAATCACTTCCTCACAAAAAATGAGACAACAATATTTAAATTTCTCTCATATTAATTAGAAGGGGCAATTAGACACATGCCAATGTAAATTTTTATATTTACAAAACTAGTACCATCTTCCATTGGTTTTTCAAATTCACATACAAATGTCAAAATTTACAATATAACTAAGACCAAATTTCCTCTATCATTGAAGATTTTTTTTTTTTTTGGTTTAAAAAAGTCATTTTATTTAAGTTTATAAATATGCATTAATAATAAAAAAATTGCATTTATGAATTGAGGTTTTTACATATATACCACATAGTTCTTAAGTATTTATTTATATAACACAACAAAAATTCATATTTGTATTCATAATACTTAAATCTATTGTTACATAAAACAATATTAATTTTACTAACTTTATAAAACGGAATAAATTTTGATTTTCATTATATATA